AGATTGCCTCTTGGTATTTTTATTCTGAATGAATCCTAATCTAACTAATCTTCTGCTGCTATTTAAACTACTGCCCGTATGAGTCCTAATCTAACTACTCCTCTGTTGTTGGTAGTTTGTTTCTACGGCTGTATTTCCTGCCAATGAATGCGTCCACATCAGAAACCAACACTCACTTAAAATGCCTTGACAATATATATATATATATATGTTGCTGACATTAATATATTTAATTTTGTAGCAAACATCATAGGATGACATTTATGATGTTGTTACAGGTGAAGTTTCAATTATTTGGACGTATGGTTATGTTTATTAGGTTAAGGAGTCAAATTGAAGTTTGGTAATTCTGGTTTATACATTTCCATCTGTTCCTAAAATCCCAGGAAGAGTGTTTATTGGGCATGGTCTCTAAGGATAGGAAACTCTTAAGGATAGGAAAATCATTTAGTTACTTGGGATCTTGGATTTAATCTGTCAGCCCAGTAACAACTAACATGGAGACTTTTAAGAGGGAGTTTATTCAATTGAATGAGCAAGTATGGCTGGAAGTCCCGCACAACACTTGGTTTACCTGTTATCTTATCTGTTTCTTTTCTTTCTAATGTGCTGACATTCAGTCAATTGGGTACTACCTGTACGAGAGACAGGAAAAGGATTCATGTACAGAGAGAGACGTTAGGTGCTTGTATAGAGGAAGGTTTAGTGAAAAGGAAAGGTGGAGCAGTGTCCTTGTCCATAGAGTTTTGGGGACAATATCATTTGGATCTTGCATTAATACTGTTTTACTCCCTCGCTAACATAAATAAAGTTATATTGGACTTCTTCTTTTTTTATGTAGATTAAAAAAATACATTTAATATTGTGTCAACTCATATACTTTTTGTTGTATTTATTATATTATTCTTTAAAATTAAATGTAAGTTGAACAAAAAAACAAATGTATGTGAATTGAATTTCTAATTATAAAGTAGTGAAATTTAGTACTCAATTCTCTTATTTATTTTTTTTATATATAAAAAACATATATTTTGGAGATATGAATAAAAAAAAAATGAAGGAATCTCTTTGTAGGACGGAGGGAATATAAGAAACGAGAGATTATTAATTAAAGACCATTCAGTGCAGAGGAAAATATATGGGCTAAACCGGTCAAACCACATCTGAACTTAAAATCATTTGAAAATTAATATATTTACTTTCAATTTCATATTTGACCTTTGGTATATTTGAAACCAAATTTGATGTTGCTTTTTACACTTTTCTATCCATATTTTGCATATAAAAACTAATAAAAGAACTTCAATGCCTTAAACTTCAATAGTTTTTAACCTAATTGATCAATTTTTTTAAATAATTACTTTTAAATTTTGAAAATAAAATTTATTATCACAATTTTAATTTTCCATCTAGAGATTTTGGTTTTAATTAACAAAAAACAAACAAACAAACAAACAAAGAAAAGATTTTAAGGTTACTAGGTTTTTTTTTTTTTAAGACAAACGAAATAGAGTATTTAGGCTACTAATTTTTTTAAAAAAAAAAAAAAACCCAAAATTTTGGGATGAAGAATTAAAATTATGGTGTTAAATTTTAAAGTTATTTATTTTATTTTAAAATTAGTTGCATAAAAAAAATTAAAAATAATCATTTAAGTTGAAGATTATTGAAGTTTAGGTTATTTAAGTCATTTCATAAGTTTTATATATAAAATATGTATGGAGTATTTAAAAAAAAAAAAACTAATAGAAGTTTTTTTATTTCAAATAGATCAGAAAAGGTCAAAACTGAAATTGAGATTACAAAGCAAATGACTTTAACCAATAAATTGTTATCAGGTGATTAGAAAAAGTTTTGATAAATAGATTAATTTATCCTTATATAACAGTTTGATTATTTTTTTTTAGTTGTAATTAGTGTGTTATTAACTAATATTTAAATCTCCAATTTGTGACTCGAATTATTATATAAGAATATGTTGACCTATTTAATCAAAAAGTTAATTATATGTGTGTGTGTGTAAAAGAGAGAGAGAGAGAATATATAAAATAAAATAAAATAAAAAACAAAATAATCTTAATTTGGGGACTAATTTGTCTAAATTATTGGTGTAGGGATTCTTTTGTGTTCTAGTATCAATGCTGAGGGCTGAAGTGAAATTTTGAACAAGACAAGATACCCTAGAATATAAAAAATAAAATTAGAATCCTACCATTAAGATTCCGTATGTTATGAAATTGTGTTATTATATCGTGTTATTGTATCATGCTACATACTATGTGTACTCGAGTTAATGTAGATATTTGCATCTTTGTATGTTATTAGTTGGTTGTCTATACTAGGCTTCATGCGAAAAAGAACATAATAAATTATAAAACAAATTATTTTAAATTGATTTTTTTTATGTCCAACAAAATATATTGAAATCAATGGTAAATTTTGTCTTCCTACCTAACTTTATGATTTTCTAATCAAACTTTTGTACTTAATTAATTTTTTTTTATGTTCTTTTCATTAGATTTTCTTCCTAGATAAAAGCAGGACTTTTTTGTTTGCATAAGTTTTTAAATAAAAATTTATAATAATCTAAAGAACAATTTTAATTAATCTAAAATTGAAAAACAAACATGTACAAAAAAAAATCATAAAATTACATAAAAAAAAAATAGATCAACAATTCATTAAAAATATATATATAAATCAACAATTAATGTAAAAGAATATTGTATGAAAATTTACAGTTTTAGAATAAAATTTTATCCTTATTGAATATTGATGATGTCGCTATCCGATATTCGGTAGATTTCAAAAAGAAAAAAATGTGGAAAAAGAGAAAAAGAATTAAAAAAAAAACGTTTTAGCTATAAAAATAACATTGAATTCAAAAATTTTGAAGTAAGGAGTTGGTTATACTTTTAGAAAGACAATAATCACCAAAAGCACTCTTTTCGAGGAAAGGTATTGTTTTTGGTTTAATTCTAAAAATATCTCATAAGAATTGTATTTGTTGAATTATTTTCTAAGTCTATTTCAAAGTTTATTTGTCACCTAAGTCAAATTGATTTTTTATTTTTTGTTTATGACATCATATTGAATTGACGTCGAATCCTAAGATAGGAAATCACGTTAATTTAGCATCGAATCCAATTATATATTGACGTGATTGGTATGTTAAGGAATGAACTAATTAGATAAAGGTTTTTTTTTAATGCAAAATGCTAAATAAAATTGGCTCAATCTAACTCTTTATTTTTTACTATTTTTTTAATTTTTTTATCATTTTGTATTATTAGATAAAATATATCAAAACTATCATATGTCTCTATTAAATAGGAGACTCGTTGGCTCGACATCACAACCAAATAAAAATCCATATATTTAAATAAAATTTACAACATAAACATTTTTATATTTTTCTAATACACATAAAATTAAATATTTACAAAAAAATAACACAATAATTAGTTTTGTTCAACTAAAGCTTACACTCCTACATTTCCATATATTTCGATTTCACATCTCCTTTTTTACCCCTCTGTCTCTCCTCTTCTCTTCATCTCCGTTACAAATCTTTCTTTTTTTCATCTCTCTCTCTCTCTCTCCTCTCTTAATCGCCCATCTGCTTCACATCTTTCTTTTTTTATCTCTCTCTCTCTCTACTCTTCTACTCCTCCTCAATTCATATCCTCCTTTCTTCCTCTTTCTATCCCTTAATTTTCATCTTCTCATTTTCGCCTCTCTTTTTTATTATCTATCATTTGGGTTGGTAATTAATCAGGACAAGGTTTTGATTTATTTTTTTTAATGTATAGCACTATTATATAACGATAAATAACTATGTTACATAACGATAATATTATTATTAGTTATTATCATGTGAAATGACGTTGGAGTGCAAATAACGCCGAATAATAATAACAGGATGACTTGTTACTCGTTATATAATGAACATTACCTTATCTAACGGCTACTATTTAAAACCATGCTTAGAACCCTTGCTTCCCTGTTAGCTGGAGTGACTTCGAGTGGCATCAACAACAAAGGATTTTGGAAGAGGTTAATTGTCTCTTTTTAAAATCTACAATATGAAGTTGCGATATCTCTTTCTGTTGCGTTCCGTAAATAGCCATCATCCATGAAAGGCATAGAGACCGGTGTGCAAAGCTATAGCATAAGCAAGAAATAATGCAATTATCTTTCCAATAAAAAATACAAGACAAGGAAATATGAAGTATTGAAGCTACCTCTAATTAAAACAGAGAGTGGACTATAGGCTTGTATAGCCATTATTACAAATTATTACAATGACAAAAGCCATTTTTCTACACTGCCTTTTGGAATTCCTATTCTTTTAGAAACAACATTACTTGGATGACTTGGACATCTAATAGGAGGGATTCTGGACCATGGCTGGATTTCGTAGGTTCTCGATTAAACAATAACTAAGTCCGACTACACACCGGCATGCTCATTATACTGTAGCTGGAATGCTCCCAATAACTATATTACCTATTTCAGATCGCATGGGTCCGAATCGGCGAATCCCCAGTTGTCCAGTCAAGTAGCTCAGCACAAAAGCTGCATGATATGTTTATGCCATTGAATCTGATAATCTTAAACAAGGTGTACCGTAGAAAAATCATGGAAAACTTGAGAAAGACTGCCAAGATTCCGGAGTGATGTAATCTGATCTTATCTATGCAAATTCTCATCAGGAAAGCTTTTAGTGGATAGAATAATCTGAATGGTAAGAATACTAATGAAGGGAAATGAAAAAAAGTAAAACACTTTAGTATGTGTGTGATTTTCTTTAGAACAAATGATGTGTCAGGCTTGATCATCTTTATCACTTCTGTAGTTAGTTTACCTCTAGAAGACACATGCATGCATGCGCAGATGGATGGTGGCTTGGGAACTCAAACAGCAAAAGGACCAATCATGAATTTCAGAATCACATGCACAAATTACCATCTGAAAAGACTACCATGCTCTGTTAGTTATCAAGCTGCATGAAACTGAGAACAAATATTTGCTAAATGAGCAAATTCAAGAACATGAAACTGGACGGATACCCACAGGTTAAGCCAATTCAAGAAAAAGTGAATTTGATTTAGAGCTTCAATTACCGATTGACTACTTGATTTAGAAGCTTCATGGTCCCTGTTGAAGTAAATCTGCTCCGCCTCCTCCCCCTGCTGCTGCTGCTGCTGCTGTTGTTCGTTTTCTTCCAATTTGCCGTCAAACTTGTTGCCCAAGAATATTTCATTTTCTTTGTGAGCTTTTTTGCATGCTGAGCATACCCACCCACGCTGGTGTTGCAATGCTGTGGGATCTCCTGCATGCATGACTACGTTCATCACAGCTGTGGCAGAAGAAAGCTGATTCAGTGTGGCAGTAAACCGTGCAGGCTGCTGCATGACATGTATCGCATATGCGTTCCCAGTTGCTTGGATAGCAACTTGATCCACCTAAACTTGCCTGCGACATTCTTGTTTTACTAGGTACAATTGCCATGACTGGATTCCGTTCTATCCGAGGAGTTGATAGAGTGGTTGCTGTAAGCAAACAAGAAGAGTATCAAATGGCTACAAGAGGCTGTTCTGTATCTTGTAGTTAATATGTTTCATGAGGAACTGCAAATAAGTCTTTAAGGTTCTTGGTGACTCACTCTTTGTTACTTTTTGGAATCTTTCGGAATACGAAAGAAAAAATTGTGGGTATATGCTTGATTTTTTCTCAAAATTAATTAAGTAATTTATCTAATTTTATTATAGTGTTAATTTATGTTATTTTTCTTAGTTTTTGCATGGGTCTAATTACATAATAAATTAATTGGACAAAATATGAACCTTATTCGATATAGGGTTTTGAGCAATGCAAGAATGGGCATGAATATCCTGTTAAGATTAGCATCTATGCTTTGTCTTTGAGATGCATTAGGAAGATTATCTTGGTAGATTCAAAATAGTTTCTACTAAAAAAAAAAGACTCAATTATTGTTTTTTTCATCCTTTACTAACAAGTTAAAAGAGCTTACCTCAAAGAATCTAGTTTCAATTCAAGTATTATTATCCAAATATAGATGATTATGCTTGATTTTTTCCCAAAATTAATAGAGTAATTTATCTAATTTTATTACCGTGTTAATTTATGTTATTTTTCTTATTTTTTGCATGGATATAAACTACATAATAAACTAATTGGACAAAATATGAATCTTATCCGATACAGGATTTTGAGTAGTGCAAGAATGGACACGAATATTCTGTTAGGATCAGTATCTATGCTTTGTCTTTGAGATGTATTATGAAGATTATCTTGGTAGATTCATAGTAGTTTCTACTAAAAAAAAAAAACTCAATTATTGCCTTTTTCCTTCTTCACTAACAAGTTAAAACATTTGACCTCAAAAGAATCTAGTTTCCATTCAAATATTATTGTCCAAAATATAGATGACATGATATGATTCTAACGATCAAAAGTTATCATCATTTCACTATAAAAACCGACTTCATAGCAATTAAGAGGAAATTCCAGTACACAAGTCGGCTGGTCAAGTGACTTCATAGCAATGAATGACTTGATTCGAGTATTGTTTTTGTCTACTTCGTTGATTGGTATAAATCACAACACCAGCTTTATGTATTTTAACCAGTTTGCTAACTTATCATTGACTTGCTCTTAAAAATCCCTCACACAATGGGCTTGCTAAACTGACCATGTAAAACAACACTGAAATCAAATCCTACACCTAGTATTTGAATGGCTCTCTGCTGACAGTTTAAGTTGTTGTTTACAGTTTAACATGGTGCAAAAGGGACGAATGTGTGATAATTTTCATTTTGCATATTATGGAATGACCAACCGGGGTAATTATTCTTGTGGTTGAAAAAGCCTTGAGCTGCTGTCAGTTAACTTGAAGCTTCTTCCCTCTTGCCACATTCGTTCTCTTTAGGTTAGGTTGATTCTGAAATTGACTTCGCTAGTGGGCTCAGAACCCATGATATAATTGCATAGTATTGTGGCGGCTGGACCAGCGGACTAGGAATAAAGTGAAAGTTTCCTACCAAAAAAAAAAAAAAATGAAAGTTTCCATCATGAAGTGGCTGTTGATAGTTTCTGAGCAATTCCTTAAGGTCTTGATTAGTACACTCAGTTGCTGATCACACAGAGAGATTTATTATCAGAAGTTTCAGAACCTCTTTTCTGAAAACGAATTATTATTGCAACTCCCTTGCTGGCGAAGCCTTGATACATCCCATAGGTCATGAGCTTCATTTTGGTTTTTCGATGATGGCATCCTATGGAAATTTTGCTTCAGTTAGACAAGCTCGTTTATGTTATTATGATCTTTAAAGCCAGATAAACTTGGATTCTTTACTTCATTTTCATGCTCTATCATCCTTCAATATACATGATTTTTTTAATATTATTTACTTATTTTTAAGGAACTTTTATTCCATAACCTGAACTTTAATCAACATTGTAAAAGAACAATCTGCCCGTTCATCCAAAATGCCAAGTCCCACAAATATAAAAACCCAGCACCTGTTGCCAATTATTATCCTTCAACTGAAAATTTGAATATTTGTGTGCAAAGGACGATCCAGTCCATAAATTACAGATTTTTAAAATCAAATAGAACTGTGACAACGATACTCTAAAATCAAGCCACTGCACAGCTGACAAAACTACTGCCAAGAAAAGGAAATCATCTCTGTAACCCTTTGAACAAGGAACCGCTACTACTTGTTTTCACTGCCTTTTTCACTTTAAGAGTATTTTAAACAACCACAATCAATGGTGCTTAGAAAGTCGCCGAGCTGCACAATCATCCGCTGCATTCCCAATGTAATATTCCTTTTGTTCTATATTATCATCTCAATTTGAAAACTTCAAGATCAGCTTGTCAACATGAATTATAATATCATCAATGCGAGGGCGGACTGCTGCCTGAGGCTGAAGCATCCATGTCACAAACTGATGAAGAGCATCTGGATATGGAGGTTTGGGTCCAGCTGGCCACTTTATCTGTGCATTTACAATGGCCAATTGAAGGCTTCCTCCAGCCTCTCCAAGTGCGTATTCAAATGGAGATACTCTGTACCTGCAGAAACCATCAATAAGAAAAGCACGAAAAATATAGCTGCATCTGGAGACATAAATGAGATCGGCTTCACCTTAAAGGGCAAAGCAACAGATTTCAAAATTACAAACAATAATCAAGATGAAATGCAATAGGTACAAGAAAATTGAATTTATCCTTTCTAGTTTCAGAAAATATGATGCTCACAGGTACATGCTTGCAACGAACAAAATATGATGCTCACAAAATTGAAAGATGGACTTTTTAGTCAATCAAAAATATCATTGAACTTATTGGTTTTTTAAAATGTACTTTTTGGTACTTGTCCCCTTGAAAAAGGGAGGGAAAAAAAACTCTAAACCAAAAATGAAACAAAATGGTAGATGGACTCTCAGTTCCTCAATAGTGGGTGAGCAAAAGCATACATAAAGTCAAAACAGTTCACAAAAAGTAAGAAGTATACAACACAAGACTAGTTCCAAATGGTTTCTGAGAATTAAATAAAAATAATTACCAAAGATATGATCCTTACATTATTGCATATAGTGTGCATCCTAGCGACCAAATATCAGTTCTCTCATCGATGTCTGCATGGCTGGGGCAATCCCACAACTCAGGAGCTCTGAAAGGTGCTGAACAATGCTCAGACGCCCATTCCTATGTCATAGCCAATCAAATCTAGTCATGATATGGTGGTAGATGCTAATATCTTACAGAAATCCACATACGCTAAACAAACTAAACCGAAAAGGTAAAGACTTCGTTTTGTGGTAATAGATTCATACTCCGAATAAACTTTAAATACATTTTAACTTTTGAATGAAAAATAATTGAACCAAACATTCAGCAGAATTAAGCTTTAAAGATAGCACATGTAACCAAGAGAGAGAGAGAGAGAGAGGAGAGAATATTGTGTAAGTACATAACTAAAACCCTTAAAAATATATATTTGTGCATGGATGCAATAAGAAGGCTGCTGCTAATGATATTGGTGAAAATAAATATAAAAGAGTAAATGATTATAATCTGAAAATATGGAAGGAAAAAGGAGGAAAAAAAAATGATTACCTGCAACTGTAGTGCCTCTGAGCGAGATCGAATTTGCTTCCTTGCAGGTCGAGCACTCCCAAAATCCATCAATATAGCAAGAGGCGATTGTCCTTTCCTATGTGTTAGAAGAACATTACCAGGTTTGACATCATTGTGTGCATATGGAGGATCAAGATTGTGCATATGTTTCAGTCCTGCACAAAGCTGCAGCAGCATTTTTTTCTTAAGTGTGCATAGGACACAATACAATTGCTGCATATCGAGGTATGATATGAACAGACACAAAAAGAAACTACTGATGCAAATAAAAAGAATGGACAAAAGTTTCCAAACATTCTTCAGATTAATTCTAGGACATTAAAGAGAAAATGCAGGAACACTAGATCCAACTGAATATAAAACTGAATTGTGATTACCACATACAAGTAACAAGTAACAAGTTCAAATGATGCCAAATATCGAAAAGATGTCTGACGGTCAGGTGTTATGTTATGATACCAATCCTGCTTTGAGCTCAGAATATATTGCTAACAAGAAAATCAATATAAAAGAATTATTATATATATATATATATATATATATATAATGTAAGGTATTTTATTTAAATGATTAATTTGGATTTCAAGGACATGGATTTTTGACCAAAATATGGCATTTAATAAATTGATGAGAGTTGAATTTTTGAAAAGGTTTATACCAAAGTTTTAGTTAATGTGGACCTATTATGTTATATTTATTAGGGACCCCATACGAGAATGACCCACTTTACTAATAAAGTGAAAATGTTAAGGGAGGAGGCTTGTTTGCTTGCATTCATTACACTCTAGATGTATTACAAAGTGGTGTGTGTGTGTGTATCACTTCTATTCACCTGCCGAAATATTTGAAGAACATCTGAGGTGGAAAAGAATTCCTTTTTAGCTTTCATAGCAGTGGAGTTGTCCAGTAAGGTTCCATCCAAGTGAACTGGAAATAACAAATATGCTTCATGGTTCCAACATCCTTCTTGATTAGCCTATCCAGTAAAACATAACAAAACATAAAAATGCATAAGTAAATTGTATGAAAGAAGAGTATTGAAATAAGTTTCCTTGTCACTAATTTTGAAACAAAAAAATCAACCCCAGTCTGATCGGAAGACACTAAAGGATCTCGGCACCATGTTAGGAAAATAGTTCATGGCTGGAATGTCCTATTTGTCAAAGCAATAGACAATGCGCAACCTGCATGACCTTTGCAAAGAAGTTATTTTCAATTCAACGTACAAATTTCTATTTTTCGGTTATCAGTGTGCTATTACTTCTACACATAGGTTGCCAGCTATGATGACGAAGGTGATACTGAAGTGATAGTTTCACAACTAGAGGGTTCTATGCCCCTGATTGGAGGGAGAAACTGTTCTTAGATAAGAAATCCATGTAGGAGATGCATGCACAGATACAGATTAAGAAAATCCAAACAAGACCCTAAGGGAAGAAGAGAACATGCGTGCAAGTTCCTTAAAAATCTGACTTATTACCAAATGAATGCTCTATCCTCAAAAGCTCTATAGAATCCCAATAATATGGCACATAGACAGAATATGCCCATCGAAAGAGAATCAGATCAATTAATGACAAACATAACATCAATTTTATAAGAAATTCCCCTACAATAATTTGAAAAGGAAGAACAAATTGTGGTTATCACCTTAATGGGAATAATAGCATGGTCAAGAAGAGGAAGCAGATTCGGGTGATTGAATAGTGAAGAAACACGAATCTCTTCCCGCACCAACTCCAATTGCTCATTATTCTGAATAAGAACTTTCTTCATAGCATAAGTTCCATCACCTGCACAGATTTGCAGTCAGACTATAGTGTAATAAAATTCACTTACGTTCCCAAATGCTAACCAAAGTTATTAGCACACATGCGCAGAGACAAGCATACTCATCACATTACAGTGAAAAGGAAAAAGGAAAAAAAAGCTGTGATGGTACATTCCTACACTAGAGTAATTTAAGAGATCTGATTGAGTTTCAAGATTTCACGTTTTTGGCCCAAATACAAGTAACCTGAAAACATTTCACATGGCTTACCTCGTACCAATCCACAAACTTCATAATTTTAGGATCAGCTATACAAATAAGACACATAAAATAACCAATCTAGCACCTTAAAATTAAATTCAATGACAAATATACTAGCTTCCCTAATAAAACCAAAACTATACATATAAAAGTATATCCAATGCATACCAAATGGCATAATTTGCAACAGAAAATCTTGTGGATCAGGGATCGATTACCCAATATTACAGTAACAATCACTCAAGCACCATATGACCATTTCCACACAAATGAAAACCCATAAGCTTTAAGATCCATATTTCAGCGACCACAATCACCAAATAAAAAAAAACAAATGCAATAGCTTCAAATAGATTTCATTAACAAACATGGAATCTTTGAATTAAGATTTGAAAATCAAAAAACGTACCAGAGAGATGGGATTTGTCCTTGACTTTTCTAGAGAGGCCACCACCAACAGCAGCACCACCACTAGAAGCAGGAGAGGAAGCGCTGACCATCTCCTTAACCAAAAACACGTAGGCAAAGCCGCCTTCACCTAGCTGCCTCACGATCCTGAATCTGTTCTCATTGATCCACACGTCTCCTCCACCGTTAACGGCGTCGTATAATGCATTAAGCCCCGAAAAAGAGCACCCCATCTCTCTCTCTCTCTCTCTCTCTCTCTCTCTCTCTCTGTACGGAAGAGCGAAGGAGAGTGGATCTTGACTCTCTCTCTCTCTCTCGCGCGTTTCTGTTCTCTGTATGGAAACCAAATTAATGGTTACTTGCTTATGTGTCTATTTTCTATTTATTTTTTATTATTTTTTTTTTTTTTGGTAAATATTTTTTATGATCCTTTGTCTATCTCAGTTTCAAGCCTCTGTCGCTCTCGGATCATTCAAAAACGGACACATGGGTTTCGCCTTTTGTGAGAATAAGTTTTATTTATATATATATATATATATATATTCAATTGTGTTGCTTGAGATGGGAGGGTTAAATACGGTACATAACTCACAAACTCTTATCAAAATAAGTCGTCATATGTTTTGAAAGACAAATTTTGTGTCAAATTGTAATGAATTTCGCTTTACGTGATTAAGGTAGAATTTGATAAAACTAAAAATTAAATAATGAATTTTAAATACTAAATAATTAAGTATTGAATTTGTTGTTCATAAATTGTTTGGTATTTATCGAAAATTAAGTATTGAATATAATAAGGTTGTTTGATAAATACGATTCATTGAACATATTAAGAGCTATATGAATGATAATTTTAACCTTATAATTATAACATGAAATTTTTTAATACAAATAAAAATATATAAGTAGATGTATTTGTATGTATAAATAAATAAAAGGTTGTAGTGTTGTTTTCTTTGACATGCATCATTGAATTGTTTTTTGATATGGATGTCCCTGATACTTTTTCTAATGTTTTTTTCGGTCTTTGGTTTAGAATTATTCATGTTATGCGGTTTCATTTCTATGACTATCTATGATAAAAACAGATGTTTACCAGAGTATTTAGACATATGGATGCTACTTCCATATGGTGCCAAGGAATCATGGACTAAATTAACATCCATAGGACCATTTACAAGAATTAAACAACCTTCAAGATTCTGGAAGAACGATGGTTTGTTCATGGAAACAAGGAGGGGCAGGTAGTCTTGTATGATCCTGTTACTCAAGAATTGAAGAACCTTCAAGTTGATGGGGCCCCAAATTCTTAGCAGTTGCTCTATACAAGGAGACACAAGTTTCAAATAATCATGAGAAGAAATAAAGGCGAGATTAAGTTAATAATCAGTTACCAGTTAAATTCAAGAAGATCGTTCGAAAAAAAAAATTAAAGAAGAATCATTTCCAAACCGATCAAACTTGATAGAAAGAAAAAAAATTGAAGATCAATCAAATTGAACAAGCAAACCAAATGTCCTAAATAGCACAAGACTTGTTAAGCAATGAGAATAGTAGATATCGTTTTTCAATTGATTTATATAGATAGAGTTATAAGAATATATAAAAACTATATAGTCATGTTAAAAAAAATTTTAAAAATATTTCAACTGAGTATATTAATTAAAAAGTTTTAAGTTAAAAATTTTAACTTATATAATTAAGTAGATTTTGATTGAATTTAAATTTTTAAATATGAGATTATTTAGATTATCAAACAAACTTTTTATATTAAGTACTATAATTTAATTTTTTTAGGCTACTTAAATGGATTATCAAATACACCCTAAGTTAAATGAAAAGGAGAAGTAGATAAAATTTATATTTTTTCTTTCTCAAAAAAATTATTCTATTATACAAATTAAAAAGTTACTAATGTTATGCACTATCAAAAACAAATTGTTAATACTTTCTTAAACATTCTTTGTTAATTGCATTTACATAATTTTTTACAATTTTAATTAAAAATACTTTAAAGAAATACATTATTTAAAGTTTTGATCGAGAAAAATATTTTATAACATATATAAATAAAAAGATAGATAAATAATAGATTTGAGGTGAAGGGAGTTTGATTTTATGCTAAAATTATCCATTATAATATCATAGAAGAATACAAGTAAATTAGAAAAAATCTTTTAACCATCACCAACATTAAATGAATGGAAGGGTGGTTGTTTAGGATAACATTTATAAAATTAAAAATTTTGGACTCAATTGATAACAAAATAATACATCAAATACTAAATTAAAATAATTTATTATAAATTAATGGTGTATATATGGATGATTGGCTTCAGGCCTTATTCAATATGTGCATCAATCAAGCTAACCTAAAATACCTCACCATTGAAACAAAAACCAAAGATGTTTATAAAATAAACTTGATACTTTCACGTTTTAATATAAATAAATAAAAATAACGACAATGGAAGGTGGGGAAATTTTGCAGCAACTGCACAGCTGGTATGAGTTTAGTCATTAATACAACATTCACTTCGCAAGGCCACCAACAGTGTGACCAAATCACAACCATAAATTTGTCGGCAAATTCAAGACACCCGCATTTTATAGCAGCAGTATACATTGGAACGGAAAATTTAAATAAATAAATAAATAGCGAATACGGAGAGAAAGCTTTCAAAAAATTTATCAACAAACAACAGGAATAACGCAGAAATGCACATTCACCATCTTTAAGTAAATTAAAAATTATTCCTCTAGTTTCAAGAAACAAATTTTTTTTTTCTTTTGTTTTAAAAAATAATTATTTAATTTATTATGTTTTAATTGTCAATAACAATGTTAAATTAGTGATGCGATATCCTGCTGTAGTATTTTTTATTCTCAAATAATTGTCCTTCATTTAATATTTTATGCGTAATCAGCCAAGTTTGACAGTTCCAGGCTGAGCAGCTGGCTGTTGCTGAGTAATGCAATGTATATTCCCCCCAGCCAAAACAATCTCCCTCGCACCTTCAATTCTCATCACCTGAGTTAAAACCATTCAGATTAGCCATTTGTTGAATAATAGAAAACAAAACATATTACAAGCAATCAATGAGCACAAAACTGTCTCCTGTGATTTTTTGTACAATGTCAGCAGTATCAACTATGCTTGGTCTTACTACTGCAATTTATAAGCATCATTAAATAGTTTTCATATTGCTGGTTATAATCACTCTCACGTTCCAGGACCATCACACTAGGTAGTAGATAGTTTCACCGACAAATAAGATTCCCAGCCAAAGCTTTGAATTTTTTTTTTTTTTTAAAAAAAAGATAAGAAATAGCCAATTATCGCTCTCTTGAGCATGGAAAGTTTCTTTTATCACAATCAACTAGCTGAATTCTACATGAAGATTTTAATATGGTCTATGTGAGACTCGCATGTGAATTCCTGTCGTCTTTGGAAGTTAATCCACATGCACTTAGAACACATATCTTGCATATGAAGCTTGTAAATATTGATAAATTGAACAAAGTTTTTCCTTACTTCATGATTTGGAAAAGCTTGAGAAAGGACATGAGCAGCCTCGTCATCCCACTTCTGGTCCCCAAACTGTGGTATGATGATCCCACCATTGGCAATATAGAAGTTTACATAAGATGCAGCAAGTCTGGTACCTGGAAGTCTTGGTTTAGCCTTGCAATCCTGTAGCAAAACCATTTAAGACCATGCAGTTTTTTATTTACATGTTCCACAAAAGCTAGATAGCATAAAGGCTGGAGGGTGAATGTAGAGACTTTAGGTCTCCAAAAATCTTAGTATGATTACACAATCAGGGTACCTAGATTTGTGGATAATTATTGCTCCAACAAGGTAAACAGGATCATAAAAGATTAGAATTCCATTTATTCAACTTTATTTCGTCATCCAGTTTGAGATTTAAACATATCAACTACAAACAAAGAGTTGTCCACAAAAAATATGGACTAATTCAAAAAACTAAGATGATATGCAGGAAAAGTAAACTAAACCAGTACCAGATAAATAGCTGCAATCAACAGTGTTTCAATATTTTACCTTTTAGGACAATGAAGGAGCATAGAAGTCCAGCAGGTAAATGTTTTAATGCTTTTCCACTTTCAAATTTTCTGGAATTATTTTTTCTTTTTTCTTTTTCTGTTGATTCTGGCACTTGCTTGTACATAAAATGGGGTCTCACGTATTACAGATTTGTTAACAATGTACCCTACACACCACAAATTATTGAATAATTCAGAGCAACTTCTGGGTGAATGAATTCTTTCATTATTATGTTTTCATCAGATCTTTGTGTTGCTGGAAAAGTGACAGCTGAGAAGGAAAAGAGTATACTCGTTAAAGCCCTGCATGCACCATGTGGAAAATTTGGAAGCAAAGGAACAAGTAAGGAATTTCCTTTGAATCTAATTCCTCAATATAGAAATTGAACTGTTTGATGTGGTCCAATACCTATATGAGAGCTAATCTACTACGCATTCCCGTACAAAGCATGCCCTTATTTGAAAAACATTTGCTTGTTAGAGAAAACACATAGGAAAGAGAGTGTTTCAGTATTTTAATTGAATTTTCCCTTAAAAGAAATATGTAGAGTAAGAACACTGGCATGAAAATAAAATTGTTGAGCAGTTTCTTACTTGAATAACTCCAGCAGCTTCTTCGTCTGTCATATAAAGTGGACCCGGCACATGGAGTTTAATTATTTTTAATTTCCTACCATTAGCATCACTAGCATTGGAGAGAATTGATAAGGCTTCCATTGATCGTTTGAACTGTGGATCCTTTTCATCGTCAGTCCAAGACAGCAAAACAACACCAGGCCTCGCAAAGCAGCACATATTGTCAATATGACCATTAGTGTCATCATCACCTGTTACATCCCATGGTATTTAGTTTCACCTTTTGAAATTTTTGATACCTTCAGGTACACATTTAATATGAATCTTATAGTAACAATAATGCTGCAATATAATCAGAAGAAACTGAAGAAAAGAAACAACATGACATGAAAAGAACAAATAGGTGCATATGCGATTATATTGCAAAATAACAACACAACAACAGAGATTGTGGACTACATTGATAACCTATATACCACAATCAGAAGAAACTGAAGAAAAGAAACAATATGACATGAAAAGAACAATCAGGAGTATATGTGATTATATTGCAAAATAACAACACAGCAACAGAGATCATGAACTACAT